TAATAATTAATAATAAAAAGATTTTAATTTATATTTTTACTTTTTATTTTATTAATAATATATTATAATAAATTAAAAATAATAAATTTAAAAATCTTTATATTAAAAAATTTTATTATTATTATTACATTATATTTATAAAAAAGATATTTTAATTATATTTAAATTTTAATATTATTAACTATAATTAATATTATTATTAAATTATATAAATATAATATATAATAAATATATATATTAATAATATTAAAAAAAAATATATAATATATAATAAAATATATTAAACCTTTTACCATTATTATAATTTATAATTTTAGTTTTAAATTTAATTTTTTTACAATTATATAATTTTATACATTTAAAATATAATAAACTATTTTATTTAATATATACTTTTTTATGCAATAATATTTTAACACTTTTAATAATAATAACTTATATTTTTACATTATAAAATTAATCATTTTCTTTTAATATACATTAATTATAATTACCAAAATACTATTTATAAAATTATAATATATTTGTTTATATTATATAATTTATTATTATTTTTATATTTTTTTATAATTAATTTAAATTTATATATATTAAGTTTATATTTGTAAAAAAGGTAAATATATATAATAATAATAACTTAATTTACTTTATTATAAAAACGTACACAATTATTATAAAAAACAATATTATTTTTATAAAGTTTAAAATTTTAATAATTAACTATAATAATATAAAAATTTTAATTAAAAAAATAAAAATTTTTTTTAATTAATTAAATATTTATATTATTAATTTATTAAAATTTTATATTAATTTAATTATATTAATTTAAAATATTATATTAAATAAAATATTTATTAAATATATTAATAAAAATATAATTAAACAGTTTATTTAAGAGCAAGGCTAAATAGGCAGTAGGGGGCGGGCTAGGTAGGCAGTATATGCGCCATAATTGCATAAATAGCGGGGTTGGCAGGTATCGCACAAGTACTACATGTATTCCCATACAAATTTACCTGTCCCCGCCCGTATCTTTTATGCCAACCCCGCCAAATTTGATAAGATACTCAATCTCTAACATGCGCGCCTTTTTATTGGCCAGCCTCATATCTAATCAGATAGCCTCGTACAACACAGCCCCTTGATTGGCCAGCCAGTCAGCCAGCCTCATACATACATACATACATAGGTATCAAAGATCATTCAAAAAGACCTCGTTTTCAGCCTTTTTGCCTCGGAATGACTGCATGCGACCGCATAGTCTTTAACCGATGTATGCGACCGAGTAAAAGCAGTATAATATTGCATCGAATAAAGGCATACAGGCCTTGCATCGTCATTTCAATCGACTCGATTGAATAAGAGGCTGTATAATAGGCTGTATAAGAGGCTGTATAAGAGGCTGTAAGATAAGGGTATTGCCAGGTGGGCGGTGTGGGATTTAGCCAATAGGAGGGCGCGCATCTTGAGATAGTGCCCGACTTTTAGGAGGGATGTTGTGTTTGGCCAAGATGGTATTTCCTAATTAGGCAATTCGTCTGTGCACCCCACTAGCGTCTGGATCCCAGGCTTTTCATTGGTCGAGATATGGAGCTAAGGCTTTAGCTGCATGACTAGCGTTGAGCTAATTTTAGTGTGGATATTTTCGGCGGTACGTACCTTTGATAAGAGAGATAAGGCCTTTGATAAGCCGATAAGAGGATAAGGCTTTTGATAAGAAAGGCTATTGATAAGAGAGATAAGAGGATTGGGGAAAAAGGTGGCCTGTGCACCAGGTTTAGGCTAAAATTTAACCAATTACATTAGGTGGCCATATGCCAATACAAGGCCACATACAGGTCACATGTTCTTAGTGCAAAACTAAACCCTTTTAAAACAACACCACATGACTTATACAGGAAGCCGGGTTCGAATCCCACACGTTCTATTTTATATTTTTTTCTTTTTACACGAATAAGGAAATACTACGAGAGAGGATAGCCTAAAGTAGCTAGAGCATTGTGCCGCCGCTGCCGGGCCGCGCGGGGGGGGGTGCGAGGCCCTCGCGAAGCGAGGGCCGAGCGCCCCCCCCCGCGCGGCCCGGCGTGGCGGCACGTGACCTTAGGGAATGAGCGGCTAAATTTCGGAAGAATGACATAAGGGGATGACATAAGGGGATGACATAAGCCTTGCTAAAAGTCGGGCTTTTGTGGTCAGCCTCACGGGGGGGCCCTCGGTTTCTGGGTGGTTGAGACTTACAATGAAGTACAAGTGTACACTAATGAATTTGTATGAGGGGTCAGGTACTTGAGGGTACATAGCAGCCCCGCATACTGCCTACCTAGCCCGCCCCTTACTGCCTATTTAGCCTTGCTCTTATTTAATATTTAAATAATATATTATAACCAAATATTTATATTATTATATATTATATAAACTTTATAAAAAAATACAGTTTAATTATTAATATTAATATATTAATTAAAAAAAATTTATATTAATATATTAATATATTTATTTAATTTAATAAATTTAATATATATATAATTTTATTTAAATATTTTAAAATTAATATATATTAAATTAATTATTTTAATATTAAATATATAATATTAATAAAATTTAATATTTAATTTATTACTTAATTCGTTATTTAAAATATATTTAATAAATAAAATTTAAATTTTATAATTAAATTATAAAAATTATATTAAAAATATTTAAATTTATTAAAATATATTTTATTTTATTTTAATTAAAATAATTTAATTAATATTATAAATAAAAAAAATATAAAATTAAAAATATTTATATTTATTAATAATATATATATTAATTTAATTATTATTAACTTTATTTTATTAAAAAACATTTAAGGTATTAAATATCTTATTTTTAGTAAAAATCTTTTATTTATTAAATATAATAATTTACTTTTTATATTTAAATTTAACTTTTAATTAATATATTATTAAAATTATAATTATAATAATAATTATTTTTATATATAAAATTATAACGTTTAAATATAATAAATATATAAATTTATTTTTAATTAATAATAAATAATATTTATATATTTATAAATAAAATTAATTTTTTTATTAAATATAATAATATTAAAAAATAATTTATTTTTAATAAAAATAATTATATTTAATATTATAATTTAAATAATTTTATTTATATTAATTATATTTTTTTATTTAATATTTATATTAAATAATATATTTTTATAATTATTATATTTTTATATTATATTAATATTTATAATAAATTTATTAATTTAAATATTTTATAAAAATTAATTAATAAATTATTTATTATTAAAATTATAATTATTAAATTAATTAAATTATATTTAATTTTAATTAATAGTTTAAATATAATTTATATAAAATAAAAAATTTATTAATTATAATATTAATAAAAATAAATTAAAAGTTTATAATATTTTGGTAATAATTTATATAATTAAAATAATTTTTTTAATAAATTTAATTTTTATTATAATAATAATTTTTAATAAAAAATGATTTTTATAAGAAAAATAATTTTTGAAAGAAAAATGATTTTTGAAAGAAAAACGATTTTTAAAAGAAAAACGGTGGTCGCTTAGGCAACAATTGTTTAAGAAATAACGTTACCTCTTTAATAAATAATGCATATAAGAGGTACGGTACTTTGTTAAGGAACCGTTTCTCAAAACCACCCTTTGCCGCTATGGTATGCATCCCCCGTTCAACTATCGATAATAAAGTGGACTTTTTATTTCAATAAAAACAACAACCGACTTAATCTTGATATCTTGACACCTTGACACCTTGACACCTTGACACCTTGACACCTTGACACCTTGACACCTTGACACCTTGACACCTTGACACCTTGACACTTTGACTCACGAGGATGAAGCTGCCGCTCTCTTCTCGATCTCGACTAGCTGCGGCGCTAGATCCTTGATTGACTCTGCAGCCGATCTATACTTTACACCCAGTACCTGTTCGGTTTCAGGGGCGCTTGCTCCGTAGAATCCCTCTGGTTTCTGCGTCTTCTCCGGCTCGCCTACGGGTATCACGTCTCGCTTCTCTGGCAACGCCTCGCGCAGATAGTTGGCCATTTCCTGATAACTTAAATCGCCTGCAACGACAAACCATCGCTTGTTTGCAGCCTCTGGTTTAGTGGCAGCCAGTACGTGGGCCTGTGCAAGGTCGCGTACGTCAACCCAAAAATATAAGAATGTAGGAGGAACGGGATCAGTCGACTTCAAACCAGGCCTCAGCAAAGACTGATAAATTAAACTTGTGCTTGTGTTGAGGTCTTCTGGCTTCGCAATTTGAGAGGCGTCAAAGAGTGGCCCGTAGACGCCGGGCGGGTTTAATGTCACCAACTCAAAGTTGCCTTTGCCCTCTTTCACAAAATCCCACGCCGCCTTCTCCGCGAGCGCTTTACTAGCCGGGTATGTTACGTTCGGGTTATCCGTTGCTAACGCTTGTTCAAACGTCGTAGGGTTCCAATCATCTCTTGTATAGATTCTTTGGGGGTTTGCGATTGGGTTCGCAGCTACATCTCCAATAGCAGCGAACGACGATGTGACGACGACCCGCTTAACGCTTGGTGCCACGCGGGTTATGCCCGACAGAATTTCTGTTGTGCCTTTAATGGCTGGGTCTAAAAAGTCGATGCTCTTGACCGCCCTGATGAAGAAAGGCGAAGCCGTATGGAGGACGATGTCGAACGGAGGGTTAGATACCAAGACGTCGTCGAAGGCGCCGGGAACAGTGATGTCGGGTACGACACCAAAGTCTAGTTGCGGCGTGTCCACATATTTGCTGAAGCTCTTTTTGAGAACGTCAATCTTAGACTCCGAACGAGCGACGGCGCGTACCGAGAACCCCGCTTCAAGAAGTTGCGACAGAACATGCTGCGCAATATAGCCGTTCGCTCCCGTAAGGAGAACTCGATGCGGTGCTGCCATTATAGCGATTTGAGCTCAAGGAATTGGTGGTGTTGGGTTCCTTTCAAAGGGTTGCGAGAGGTGAAATGAGGAAGGGAAGCTATGTCAAGGTGTTTCGGTAATCCGGAAGCTTCAAGTATCATATCGATGGCATCATTTATACTCTACATAACCCGATGTTTTCACCCGGGCGACTTGGTCTAGACTAACGCCATGGGTTATATCTAGGTAGGTTACTACTCTGATTCGGTAGTTGACCTTAAGCCTTCTCTACCGCATATAGCCAATTTTATAACATATAATACAATTAACCCAACCAGACCAACACCTCGGCATAATTGTTGGCTCCGATTTAAACGTTAGACCCCATCCGGATCCCGTCGTCTTTGTGGGGTCTTACATCTTACGAACCTCGGAACTAGACGGCGAATTTGGTTGCACCGTGCACGGCGCCGCATAACATACCTACGCCGCATTCTTCCCCATTTACTCATTCAAACCCACGGTATTCGAAGATTACGGGTTTAAACAGATAAAGCCCTTTAGCAAGCTAGAACGAGCTAGGATTTAATTGTGCTATTAATCAGCGAATAGATGTTAAAGCCGAGAGTCATCATTCAGCATTTTCGGTGTTTATATCGTATTCGCCCTTCCACCGCCGTTCCGAGGCTCCGGAAATAGCATTTTCCTATTATTTTTAACTAGCCTGGCACGCTTCCAGAAGATCAACATATTTCCGTGAGCCAAGCTACGCATTTTCCCAGTAATCCGCAGGATAAACCATACTGACAAGATACGGTGATAACATATAATATGACATCTTTAAGCCCTAATTGTTATACTTTGGGTGTCAGTCTTAACCATCCAGTGGCATTACCCGTGGAAGATAGTTTTTTCATCTTCTTTCCTTTTAGATTATTACCCAATTGAAGTTTTACAGTCCATCATTTCATTCTTACCTAACCTAGATATATCTAAGCTCTTGATAAGACTACCTATACACTTATAAGACTTGTATACGAATAGCCTGCGATGTTTCTGCTTATAAGTGATCGGAAATAATGTGCCTCATGTTGGATATGCCCGGAAACCCCATGACAACTGCCTATAAATCATAGTATTATCCATCCGAAGCGTGCCGAAACTTGGTCCGGAATACGTTAGTGTCTAGGTAGGTAAGATCAGTAATTCCAAGACATATCATTACCAATACAGACGTAGGTAAACAAGCAGGTAGGTGCCCTTTTATGAGACATAAATGTAATACCTACCTTTGTTTTAAAGATTTCGCTTGTAGACTTCGGTGATATTATGGTTCACGATACGTTGGTGTCGATCCTCTTAATGAGAGATTTTATATAATAATATTAAAAGTGTAAAACAGGGAGAACTTTTCCAATCAGTTGTAAGGATACAAGAAATGGGAACATAACTCCATTGAAGAACAATAAATGATGATCCTATCCAAGACTAGTTCATTGATATAGCTTTCTATCCTATTCTAAGGATTTAAAATATGGTATCCATTAAGAGGTTGACTAGACCCTAGTTTAATTGCAATTAAAAGCCATAAACTCAAAGGTTTCTGAGTAGAAGTTCAGAAAATAAGAGTAGTTAAAACCGGTAATCATTGGAATTACATCCGTGTAAAAGGAATTGTAACATGACCAATACCTGCTTGAGATATTAACTCGAGTGTGTTTCTAGAGGTATTTAAGTGATCTTATCACGACCGTCAAGTCTAAAGCTATTAGTGTAAAAGTTCTATCTTCTTATATGTTTCGTAAATAAAATGTACCTGTCTTTTGAATATATCCAAACATTACCCTCCAACCCGCGACCAGTTGGATACTGTAAAGATATTGATTCGCATTTTGTGATTTGTAACTGACTTCAATCTTCAATTCGAACAGGCGTTATGACAGTACTCGTGATAATACTAACTGGTCACTTCGGTGCTTATATAGACCTCATAGTCAATTCTATGATATGTATGCATTTCTATGTGTCCTTTGTAACTGACCCGCTGCCACAATATCGAGAATGTCTTCTATATAGCTGCTTATGACGGATATACATGACATGGGTAAGCATAACTCCCGCCTCTAATGCGATATCATATAAAATAGTGTACAGACTAAAACACCATGCTCTCTAATCACTGACTAGGCCATCAACGAACTAATCGATCGGTCCTATTTCCTATTTAGCACTCTACAAAACCCAGCGAACTCGGGGCAAAGTCACGACGAACGTGTAACCGACGTAGCAGCACCTTGCATCCAAGCGTTCAAGACTACGTACATACCGGGACCCTGTCGGCAGCTGTATACGTATAACCACAGCTGATGGTTGGACTGGAGAAACCTCGGGGCCCCCCTATTGCGGCGCGCTACTGGGAAATCTTCGGGTGGAAGAGCGGGTCGAGCGGCCCGTCAACCCGGCGCCGATCTACACTACATTGAAAGAAACCGCTTCAACCATCTTTTTCTTGGATGGCTTGTCCCCCCCGATTGCGTTCCGGTGTCGAGGGTCACAATTCGTACGTTTGGGGGGGGGAAGGGGTGCTTGTGCCTACTAGGGAAAACGCTGGAAGGTCACAGACGATGAGACGGCAGACGAGAGCCGATCTTACATGACCCCACGAAATACGCCGCCAAGCTGTGACTTCTGTGAATTATGTATATTCCTTGGTCAACGTTAGTCGTACCTCCTTGTACGCTGTCTGCTGTCGAACCTTGTATGGGGTAGGGAAGTAATGCGCGGTAGCGGCGGTGGGCTTAGTTTCGAGCTATAAAGGTGGTAATAAGTAATATACTATTCCTCGAGTAGCTTAAAACCTGATTTCCTTCTCTCTACCTACCTTCCGTCTTTTCTTCACTGCCCTAGATACTCGGTAGCTGTTGTTATTATCACTACTTTTTCTCTACGAGCTGTCGTCGAGACAAAGTAAACATGGCGGATATAAATGTAGAACAGGTCCTCAAGAAGCTCTCTATGGGCGACAAGGTCGATCTTTTGGCGGGTATCGACTTTTGGCATACAAAAGGCCTTCCAGAACATGGAATCCCTTCGTTGCGCTTAACTGACGGGCCCAATGGCGTTCGTGGCACCAAGTTCTTCAATGGTATCAAAGCTGCTTGCTTTCCTTGTGGAACCGGATTGGGTGCTACTTTCAACCTCGAACTTCTAGAAGAAGCAGGAAGGAAAATGGGAGACGAGGCCAAGGTAAAGGGAGCACACGCCATCCTAGGGCCTACTATAAACATGCAGCGAGGCCCTCTGGGTGGCCGAGGATTCGAGTCGCTTGGCGAAGACCCTTTCCTAGCTGGGTTGGGTGCAGCTGCGCTCGTCAGGGGTATCCAGTCAACCGGGATCCAAGCTACTATTAAGCATTTCGTTTGTAATGACCACGAACACAAACGAAATGCCGTCCAAGCAATCATCACAGAACGAGCACTGCGCGAGATCTATGCGCTGCCGTTCCAGTTGGTCGTTCGCGATTCTAATCCGGCATCGTTTATGACGGGTTATAATGGAGTCAACGGAACGTACTGTAGCGAGAACCCCAAGCTTTTGGACCAGATGCTACGTGGGGAATGGGGTTGGGATGGAATGATCATGAGTGACTGGTATGGCACATACAGCACTACAGAGGCGGCGATAGCTGGTCTTGATCTTGAGATGCCTGGTCCACCACGATTCAGAGGCGAGCCGTTGAAGTTCAATGTCTCGACCGGCAAAGTTCGCACCCATATCCTAGATCAGCGAGTGAAGGCTATGTTGGAATTTATCAAAAAGTGCGCTGCTAGCGGCGTGAAAGAGAACGCCCCTGAAGGCACAGCTGATACCCCTGAAACGGCGGAGCTTCTTCGACGGATCGGCAATGAGGGAATAGTCTTATTGAAGAACGATAAAGATATTCTTCCCCTTAAAAAGGATAAGAAGGTATGGTATTCTTCTCTAACTTTGCTCAGACTTTAGGCTCCTAATAGCTAATTGCCTGGCATTTCTAGACTGTAATTATTGGACCGAACGCCAAGGTTGCAACATACCACGGAGGAGGATCCGCGTCTTTGGCTGCGTACTATGCCGTGACTCCATTCGACGGTATTAGTAACAAGTTGTCCTCGCCTCCAGATTATACAATCGGCCAATACTCACACAAGTTGCTACCGCTCCTTGGTTATTCGACTGAGTCAGCTAAGGGCGCACAAGGAATGACCATGAAGGTTTACACAGAGGGACACGATATTCTAGACAGACAACCAGTTGATCAACTAGAGCTTCTTAAGACGGAGATGCTACTAATCGACTACTCGAATCCGAACGTGAAGGGCCCTCTCTGGTACGCGACTCTTGAGGGATCGCTGGTTGCTGAGGAAGACGCGACCTGGGAATTCGGCGTTGTTGTGTCCGGATCGGCAAATCTTTACATTAATGACGAGCTAATCGTCGACAATACCACAAAACAGACATTAGGCGAGGCATTCTTCGGCAGTGCCACGGTCGAAGTGAAAGGGACCTACAAGTTAGAAAAGGGAAAGACCTACAATTTCAAGGTCACATTTGGATCGAGCCCAACATCCAAATTGGGAGGCGATGCGGTTCTTCTCAACGGCGGCGCGCTCAGGGTCGGCGGCTGCAAGATTGTCGACCCCAAGGCTGAGATAGCCCACGCTGTAGAACTGGCTCGGGGTGCCGATCAAGTCATTGTATGTGCTGGGCTTAACGCCGAATGGGAAACTGAAGGCAATGACCGCACCGATATGAGCCTCCCTCCCGGCTTAGATGATCTAATCTCTGCCGTCGCCAAAGCCAATCCCAACACAGCGGTGGTCATGCAGTCCGGTACCCCAGTAGAGATGCCTTGGATTAACGACGTAAATGCTCTTATCCACGCTTGGTACGGCGGTAACGAGACGGGAAATACCATTGCGGATATTCTCTTCGGCGATGTAAATCCTTCGGGAAAGCTTAGTCTCAGTTTCCCGGTCCGCGTCCAGCATAATCCCGCATATCTGAATTACCGGACCGAAGGCGGTCGAGTGATCTACGGCGAGGACATCTACATCGGTTACCGGTACTACGAATTTGCCGACCGCGAGGTCTTATTCCCTTTCGGACACGGCTTGAGCTACACGAGCTTTGCGTTTTCAGATCTGTCGGTCACCGAAAAAGACGGGGAATTAACTATATCAGTTGCCGTCACAAATACGGGCGGCGTAAAGGGCGCCGAGGTTGCGCAGGTCTACGTGGCGCCCAAACAGAAAGCGAAGGTGAACCGGCCAGTCAAAGAACTCAAGGGTTTCGCCAAGGTAGAGTTGGCACCGGGCGAAACTAAGACGGTTTCTGTAAAGGTTGCGAAGAAATACGCGGCTAGTTACTGGGACGAGGAACGCGATCAATGGTGCGTCGAGGAGGGCGAGTACGATGTCATTGTCAGTGACAGCAGTGAGATTAAAGAAAGTAAAGCCGTGAAGGGTTCGTTCAAGGTGGCCGAGACATTTTGGTGGTCCGGGCTGTGATGGATTCTGGAATTCTAATATGGGAAATCGTTGCCCATGAAATGTAACGAATGCTGATGAAAATTATGACGAGGCGTCTATTCGAGATATGTTCTTAGAGGAAAATATTTGATATGACTGAATGAGATGGAAATAGATTTCACTTCTGTTATAACAGAAATAGTATCCTCAGTGCCGTATAAATGTTTGATTCTATCGTATTGCCGCCATTTAATTGAGATCACTTTGCAACCCGCTTTCCAAATTGACCTCGATGAGTTCTCAATGAGTTCCCAATGGGGGCCAGAAAGATAGCGCAGATGAGTGGAATCGAAATTAGAATTTGATGAATGAGAAGTTGAGAATTGTTACAATTTAATCTTTGCACAATAGCTCCAGTATGTGACACCTTATGTAAGGTACCTACATGTACATCTTGGACCCTGAATAGACCCCGCAGTGGGTCCGTGAAATAGAAACGCGGGGTAGATTTCCAAGACGCGACGCGATCTTACAAGATCTTTACAATATATCACTTTAAATCAACTCGATTTACAACCATCTCGGATAGAGCCAAATATAAATCGATTATACAAACAATTGGCCAATTAGAAAGCTATACTTCTACTTATGCCTCAACATCCAAAGAATTAAACCCTCCAAAACGATGCGCCCTATTATAAGAGAACCCCAGCGCAACACCTAAAACTCCCAAATAAACCACCACCACCACCACCACACCATGGCGCCCCCCACGATCCTCGCCCACAAATCCTCCTTCCTCACCGCGCAAACCCTCCACCTATCCCAATCCCTCACACCAAGCAACACATGGCGCACATCCAACCAGCGCATCCCCGACACCGACGGCAGCCTAAGCGACCGCGTCGTCGACGAGGCGCTATACCGCGCGAACCATATCCTACAACAACACGCGCGCCGCGTGTATGCGCCCCAGGCTAGTCGGCATGTCGCGGAGCAGATCGAGACGCTGTACTTAGAAGCTGCGGAGAGGGCTGTGCGCGGGGAAGGGGGTCGAGGGGAGGATGATGAGGACGGGATAGATGTAGGGACGGGGTTGGGTGGTAGAGGGCCCAAGTTTTTGATGGTGGGTGCGGATTTTGGTATGTCTACTTCTCTACGATTACGATACTATATCATATTATAAAAGCGCCAGCTAACTAACCATCCCTAACGCAGCATCCGACGAAGTCATCGCCTCCCTCCCCAACACATGGGACCAACACTCAACCTCGCAATCCGAAGCCCACCCCGCCGAAGCCCTACGCTACGCCGACCTCGCAACCTCGCTATCAATCCTCTCCTCGCGGCGAAAAGAAACGCGCGCGCGCCTCGATCGTCTCCGTCGAATGCGCAACTTACTAGCCCCTTTTTCTTCCACCACCACCACCACCTCCTCCTCCTCCTCCTCCTCTTCCGGCCTAGACTCCTCCAACCCGCAAAGTAGTAGTGGTGCGAACGAAGTCGGTAATACAAGCGAATCCGGCGTCGAAAAAGTCCAACCGAACCTCGTCACGCGCGACGGCGAAATGGAAAAGGAGCTCGAGCGCATGCGCGTGCTACTGGTGCGCGTCGCCGCCCGCGTCGCCCAGTTACCGGACCCGGAGCCCGGCGAGGACGTCGCGATGGAGGATCTGGAGGCCGTGGAGCGGGGCAAGGTTGAGAGGTTGCTTGATGGGTTTTGATATGCCATGACAATACATGCTAGCGCTTACCATACTAGTACAATTCTAGTTCTTTGTTATTCTGTATGGACTTGAAGAGGAAGAAAGAAAGTGGCGTCTCGAGTTTCGGAGAGGCTAGTTGGCCTGGCTTGGCGGTCGACTCGCCATGTCGTTACGCAAGAATGATGATACTCCTATAGTACATATCTACATACCTCATACCTGGCTGAGATAAGGTCAATTAAGCAAGTTAAATTGCCATCATACGAAAACAAGCTCGACGATATGAAAAGAAGATATTTATATTGAAGTGACTGAATGGAGTAGGTATTCCACTTGACTGTTATTCTCAATCTCTATACAGGTTCCATTCTCTTTTATCTAATCATACTCGTAATAACTTATGCCTCATAACTCGTTATTCGGATCCTTACCCTCGCTAAGCTTGCGGCACAAGAGACATGATGCTCTTCTTCCTCTGCTCCTGGCTACCTTCAAGCGTGGCATCCTTAGAGCTGTCGTCGACGTCTAGGCCCTTAGAGGTCTTGGGCTCTTTTTCTTTCTCCTCATCCTCATCCCCATCTTCGCCGTTCTTCTTATCGTCCTTAGCATAAGGGTTCGGGCGGACGACACGTAGCTTTACAATCTCCTTGTCCCTATCCTCATCAGACACCTTGTAGTAGACGCGTAAACCGACTGTGGCGACAGCATTCCACGGGTCTTTCTCGAACTCGTCCTCTTCCTCCGGCGGCTCGACAGGAGGTCGCGACGAAGGAGGAGGGGCGACACTATTCGCCTGACGCTTAAGCTCATAATCTAGCTCTCTGTCGCTGATCTCGGAAACAGACGATATATCGCTCTCGTCAGACGAGTCATCCTCTTCATCTTCCGTCTCCTTTGTCCCCTTCTCATCTGACTTGTTATCGACATTTGCCTTATTTGACGAAGTAACGCTAGAATCAGGTAATCCTTCCGTATCCGGCTCAGTTTTGCCTTCAACCTTCTCAGACCCAGATGTATCATCTGCTTTGGATTCCTTAGATACCTCGGGGGTTTCAGCAGAGTGCTCTTCAGATGTCGACGGCGAGTCTACGGAAGACTTGTCAGGCTCTGTAGAGGGCGTCTCCGCCTTGGGATCCGTACTCGATTCAGAAGTCGGTTCCTTTTTAGTGTCCTCCGGCGCCGGGGTAGGGCTTGGCGACAACACTTGAACGTGCTTATCCGCGGGTTCCGACGGTTCTTCCTTGGAACTGGTATCCTGTTTGTCAGCCTCCTTGGCCTTTAACTTGTCGGCCTTTACAGCCTTTTTGATCTGTGCTTTGGCCTTGGCCTTAGCCTTCTTCTCCTGGTCCCTCTTATGCTGTTTGACGCGGTAATAATGATTACGTTGCCGGGCCTCCATGATCTTTTTCTTGAGTTCCTCACGCTCCTTATCCTTCTTGCGCTGCTCCGCTTCCTTCCGGGCCTTCTTTTCTTCAGCAGACTCGATGATCTTCCCCTTACTGTGAGCGAGGTCGTATGACATGCCGACGGCAACTAGTTTGTCTCTGCGGTCCCGCGCATGGTTGCGCACCACCTCTTCTATCGGTAGTTTGCCCATATAACGAGTGGCATCAATTTTGAGCAAGACCGTATATTCGCCCTCTTCTAGCTCGAGCTCAACATTTACTGCGCGGTTCAGACGGATCGAGCTGATGCTGCGAACAACATAGTCTTCTTGGCCGTTCTTGTGCAGGCGAAAGTTCAGTTCGAATCGGTACTGGCCTTCAAGGCCTCGGTAGTAGCGCTCATCTAGCTGAGAAAGCACAAGAACAACAGGCCCAGTCTTTGCGAGAGAAAATGTAAAGTATGTATCGTGGTAGTCTAGTGTCCAGGGAACCGATAGTGTTGTCCAGAGAGAGGTAACTTTCCACTCCGGCCCGAAAAGTCGAGTTCTATCAAAAGCCTGGTACTTTCGAAGTAGGTCATCGTACGAAATCCAGAAATTCCCATCGTCGCCGAACCGATGGTTGAGCTTGACCATCCACTCAGCTGTCCACTCTTTAGACCCGTCGCTCCAAGCACCGGTCCATTCTCCTTTTCCCCAGGGATTCTTGAGTAGGACAAGTCGCTGGCCGTCAATGTCCACAGCCTTCATTATTGAGTAGGCATGAAGCTCATAGATGCCCTTACGTTCGCCCCAATAAGAACCCCACATTCCTGTAGAGCATCCGAAGAGAAATTCATCATTCACCTTCATCAACTCTTCTTTCCAAAAATACTCCCTATCAAGAATATCCGTGGTATAGAGCTATTATACGGTGTCAGTAGGAAAATGATTTTCAAAGGTACGACTGAAAGAGAAAACTTACCTCGGACGTAACTCCACCGGTGAGATCTTCGATCCCTTCTCCGGTGAAACCGCCCTCGATCGATGCGTAGTCACCATGCGCTTTAGCATACGCCTTCTCGAGCAGTGGTAGCCAGGTCTCATTTTCGTGCTCACACTGGGCGAAATAGAGAGCTCCGGATCCGCTCTGATACGCCTTTCGATATTGCTCCTCAGAGTTGATCCTTTCGCGGTCTTCCCAAAGGATCCGCTCGAGGAAGCTCTCATCGAAGTCGGGCTTGGTCAGGAATAACTTGTCATCGATAATCTCTGAGATCCACTCGCCATCGCGGTGGAAGACAAAGCCGTAGACGCCGACCTGTTCGTCACGAGCTACGCAAACCTTCTCAATCAAACTAGGCTTGTTGCTAAGAGTACATAGAGCGGCGAGCAGCCAACAGTCGCCATCACGACCTTGCCTGACGTCGTTGGCGGTGGGACCCTCGATATAGAACTTAGGGTCGTCAAAGATGTCTACCACACGCTTGACGCTCTTGGGCTTGAATAACGAGTCGGCCTTTTCCTTGGTGTTGCAAAGAGACTCTAGAGTATCTCGGCTACCCCATTTCAAATCGATCTCGAGATCGAAGTGCGGGTCTCGATATTTCTGATTTACACGGCGACACTCCTTGACGATTTTGGCAACCTTGGCTTGACAGACGGCGGCAGCTTCTTCGTACGACGTCTGGGTATTTGTGCCAACGGCTTTGGTAGACCTCTTCGCCGCTTTCTCGGCATATTCGTTATGCGGGATAATAGTAGTTGCTAGTGTGGGTGAATTAATAACGTCACGCTCGAAAACTAGCGTAATAGGGTAGTATAGCAATGAGGGTACGAACCTTTTCCAGGAGCTTTAGTTGTAAATTTTTTCCAGAATTCGTCAATCGCTTCCTGAGGGGTCTGCTTCTTAGGTTTCTTAGGGGTTTGCATGCTCACGGGCACCACGGCCATCACGGTACGGTCTCCAACGCCCTGGTCCGAATATCCTGCCTCCGAAGACGAGGCTGAGTCAACGTCGGACATGGCTCTTTGATTTCAGACTAAGGTGAGATAGTACGAGATACCAAGCTAAGAGTGACACGAAGACGGAAGGGACAATTAGTCACCCGGTCCTACTTTTCTCGTCAAGTCGAAAGGAGAAGAGAAGGTAGACCGAAGGAGAGATACAAATAGCTAGCACAATTAGCTATCTGACAGGCAAGAGAGGGGTTGTGCTAGTTCAGAAACGGCTAAGGGGAAAAAAGAAGGTGATGGAGAAAGTGATATGTGTAAGTGAGAAGTAATGGCAAACGGGAAGGAAATATTTCGAACTTATAAACATTGGCACTAGGACACAGCAGGCATAGCAGGTATAGCAGGTATAGAAGAAAAATGTGGTTCACCGAGGCCAGGGGGAGTCATGATCAGTCCCGTCTGCATTAATTAAGGCATAGCTCAGCCCATGCAATTGTTTGTGATATTGTGACATCGTGTGATGCTGACGACTTATAGTCTTATACCAAGCCTCGATAGACCTAGGTAGTGTTTAGTTGCTTGCTCTGTCAGCTTTGCTTGTTGCATAGAAGTATACGAAGTAGAAGTAAAATGTAGTTTAGAGCATGCGACATTGGAGAAAGAAGATGGAGGAGAAAAGGAAGAGCTACTGAGTACATGTAGGTAAGTACTATAATAGGTACATAATAGGTACTATAATGTTTGGTGTAACCTAGCTGTTTGTAAGAAATGGAATGCTGCAGAGCCCTATGTGGGTCATAAGTGGATCATATCCCGCGGTGCTGAGATAAGCTTGTGCAAGCTTGGTTCAGCCTGCTTGTCAATTGGGGGCGGAAATGCAGATATTAGCCAATAGAGACTCTAGCACCCAGCCTTCATTTTATGGGTCATTTTGTCTTACATTATGATATATCATTTCTATATCATTTCTACATCAAAATCAAATAAAATACTTGCATCTGCATTTGTTAATGTTGATGTTAATGTTGAAAACATTTCCGCATTTGGTACGATCCTGCGGCTCTCGAAAATGACAAGAAAAGAAAAGAAACGGAAAAAGGAATTAATAACAAGCAAAGACTTGACTCCTTATGCGGTTGAAAGGAACATGCATAAAAGAAGAATGGTATGGAAAAGACAACCTTAGTTGCTTTGAATATTATTAAACAATACTTTTGTATAAATCTAAAACAATACTAATCCAGGTACCTATATGTACCTCTTAATACATGTACTCTTAGATATCTTCAGTTATCATCATCATCATCATCAGGTATCCGGCCCCCGTCGAAAGTGCTTCTATCATACCTATTCCAGTTGAAATTCAGGGGAAGACCAATATTTTCTCGGGTAACAAGGTCGACAAAGCGTGTATGCCCTAGCCGTGCAGTCCTATCGGCGTTCCTATTCGGAATATATGCATACCTTGGATTCAAGTCGATGATAGTGTTGAATACTCTAGAATATTGCTGGCACGTGATAGATTGAGCCATCGCATCTAACAATTGCTCTTGGGTTACGCCTTCTGCGTCACCAACACCTGCGTCGAATCTTGCAATTGGATTAACCACTCTCCATATGCGATTTAGCAACATCTCTACTACGGGGATGGGGACTGGCGCTAGGGTTTTGGCCCGAATAAACCTGCTAAGTGCATTAATGCACCTCGTAATATTTCGGCCTGATTCACCCGGATTGCCATACCAGGATGGGGACGTAGTAAGATGATGGAAACCAGCTAACACTTGGTCCGGATTGTTCTGTAGCTCCGGGCTATTCTTAAGAAGAAAATTGATAGCACCTACAAATGCTAGGCCACAGGCGGAACTAAATGGCATACCAGTACAGGCAATAAGACATTCGATCATTCTTTCCGAGAGATGATACTGGGAAAGAAAACCATCCATTACAGGAATATTTTCGAAGCACATCTCACTCAAGAAGCGGTCAAGGCCAAGTTCCGTTCGCCGTCTGAGAATAACTGCGACGGCGTCATAACAGTTTTGTTTTATGGAATTTCCCAGTAACATTGAAGGACTATTTATGCCCCAGAGGTCTAGGGAAGGAACAGTGCCTGTCGAAATAGCCGTGTCGATGAGAAGTTCAAAGCATCTATAGCCCTCGGGGTTCGCGAGGCATTGCCTCATGGAATCAAAGTCGAGAATTTCTCGCACAACTGAACCAAAATCCACTGTGTACGACCATCCCCCTGGAGCTCTCACATTGCTTGTAACTACTATGTCACGAAGGGTAGTCAACAGGCCAAGATTACCATTTATGAAAGCATACTCGATCGGTTGAAGAGCGCGATATCGATGCGGATTCTCGAAAATATATCTTACGGTGTGGTTGAAGACCGCACTGTTTAGTTTCTTGTTCATACGTCCCATTCGGAGACATTGCCAAACCTCCATGTGTTGGGCAACTCTCGCCATGACGTCGAATTGAAGCCTTGGTGCCATTGTGAATGTTTGATTTTTGATATGCAGATACTAAGGGATTATAGGCTATGATAATGAATTCAGGTTGTGTGCCGAATATGATATACGGATAAAATTCTGATGCCGGATATTTCTTCTCTGCCTACCTACTTATACTAAATTTTTGAGCATTGTTACATATTTGTGCTTTAACGATCAGATACCATATTCCTGTTAGTTCACTGTGCTTTGAGATCAAGGCTAACAGACTAAACAATGTGGTTGTTCGGTTCTACTATGATAGGTAAATTATTTATACCCACATGACCTCGAATGTTGTTATGGGTGTTAATTTTCAAGAGAGACAGGGATATTGGGACTGATGAATGCTATCAGCAAGGAATATCATCTTTACAAGAAAAGGGGAGATGTAGCATTATCCGATAGCTATGGCATTAAAGTGACTATTACACGTTAGTCAGCTTATATTTACCAATTCTAGGTATATCAGGCGATATTGCGGGCCATTCGACTGTATAGTCGTAAGATACTTATTCGTGATTTGCCCGAGTTTACGAGGGGTTATTGTGCCCGAGTTTACGAGGGATATTGTCAGACGATCTTTTTGCCTGGCCATTTTACGAGATAGGAAGTTCGTCTGTGCGCAGCTCTGGAGCGTTTTTTTTGGGTGCATCCTCGAATTCTCACGTGCTCTTCCAGATCTCCACTTTTATCTTTTTCTCGAAATACGTATCTTTTTTGCCCGACTTTTAAGTATTTAATAGCCTAGCTAGCCACGGTCATTAATTACGTAGTTACGCATTATATATTTAAGCAACTTAAGTTTCACAAGAGCCTGGGTTCGAGTCCTGTACGCTCCTTTTTTTTTTTTTTTTTTTTTCATTTTTTAAAAGAATTCTAGCAAAGTTTAATATTTGAGGTTGTCCGCCGCTGCTGCCGGGGAAAGGCGCTCGGCCGAAGCGCGCCGAGCGCCTTTCCCCGGCAGCAGCGGCACGTGATTCGTAAACTCGGGCTATTGTGGTGCCCCGCAGGGGTGCCCTCATGTGTCGAATTTTTTCCATGGCCCAAATAGGAAAGTAACTCAATGGGCAGTATATGGCCGGTGCGCAATTATGTAAACTCGGGCATATTGTGCAGCCCGCAGGGCTGCCTCCAGTTATATTTTAGGATATATGCCGCGATTCTCTTAGTCAGGAAATATATAGTATTTCGTCAGTGGGTTCAGTTGTTCCAGCCTTGGATGTATTCTGCGAATAATTAGGATGGGTACTATATTCGCCGCCGTACGTCAAGCAGGCAGCGAAGAGGAAGCAATCTGTGTATATAAAGTTGAGCACGCCATCGAGTTCTTGGTTCTCGGTACAGTTAAATCAGCTCATTAAAGGATACAACTCCAAACGCCTACGACGCCCACCATCACACTGAAACAATATTCTATTATTGCTATTATCCCTACGAACTTCCTCGGCACCATGCGTCTCATTCAAGTTCTCTCGATTCTTTCCCTTGGACTGGGTGTCTTTGGCCAAACCCGCGAGTGTTCGACTCGAAATGATTGCTCAGGGAGCAAAGTTTGCCAGCGTAGGTGAAATAGCTCAAGCAAACACTGACTTATTGCCTTCCAAGGTTATATTGTGAGATTCCAAACTAATATTGTCGTATATGCAGATAAAACTTGCCAATATTACGAGAGTTGGATCTGTACTGAGCCAACTGACCCGGCCTGTAATAACGGAGTTCAAGATGAGTGCTACCAAGACTGTGACAAATGAAACATTGTGCTTGGCACGGAGGTATATATGGATATATGTATTGATTGAATCGCGTGGATTGAAAAGACTTCAGTGTATCTAAGCATAAATGAAACGACTGGTTTCGTTTGTTGACCTCAATAGAGTATTATCTCAAACGCTCATTACCGCTCAAGACAAATTTCAAAAAATCCCGTTTACTTCTTTACTCGTAACCTCCTGAGTTTTGAATACGGAAAAGATAACTAGTTCTGTTTCGCTTTTACAAGGCTAAATATAGCCTTCTGGAACTCTCCATGAAGAGCAATGACTTTAGGATGCATGGGCGGAATAATCTGACAGACTGCCGTCCCACAGATACCAGTCTCATGGTCAATAAACCACATACAACTCGGAAACCCGCCCTAAAACACAGTATTCGGCGCGAACCAGCCCTCATGGCCCTTCTTCACCACCAGGCCCGCGAAGCTCCACGTCTTCCTGATAGGCAATGGAATCTGCAGGCCGAGATACTGCGTCTTCTTCGGCGAGGAGGCGATATCATCGTTCAAGCTCTGCTCTAGCTTTTCGTCGAGCTGCGGGCGGAAAAGTTCTTCGTACAACGCAGGTGATAGGAGCTTGGGGTCTCGCCGAAATACGGCGGACAGGAATGTGTAGTAAGCTCTTGGGGTCGCGAATACGCCCGCGCCTCCCAAGCAGTCGGACGCTCCGCCCTTCGTATCGAAGTCCGAGGCATCCACTGCCGGCGGCTCTCCTTTCTCGTTGAGTGTGCTAAGGTTAGCTACCCTATCTTTCATGCCATCTCTCGCTTTTGGAAAGAAACTAGCGTCATTTTCAATTCCCAGGGGCGTCCAAATACGTTCGCGCATGAATTCGTCGAGGCTAAGGTGGGTAACAGCTTCGACTGCTTTGCCAGCCCATTCAAAACTCACACCATACGAAAATCCCGTGCCTGGAGGGTACACTAGAGGCAAGGTAGCTAGGTGCTCGGCATCTGGGCCGGAGAACGGCCTTTCGCCGCGTGAGGCGCGCCATTTCATAAGCAACGGGTTAATATAATCGTACTCGTGGCCAGATTTATGAGTAAGTAGCATCCTAAGAGTGATAGGGATGGAGTTAGGCGTAAAAATGCCAATGTTTTTATCGTCGTCGAAACCGGTAATAATGCCGTATTTTCCGATATTAGGAAGCAATGTCTTGATATCCTTGTCTACGACGAATTATACTATTTATATGGCATAATATTGCATATATACCTAGGTAGTCATTAAGACTAATATACAAACAGTTTTATACCAGGATTTACCTCAAATGTCCCCGGGCCCTGTAGAAAGATCATACTCTGTGCCTAGGTACTCTAGTCTAGGAAGTCCTTTACTCTTTCCTCACACCATTCGAAATACTCTCTTGCCCGTCCTGAACCCCCTTCTTCCTCTCCTCTCAGTGCTAGGAGAAGATCCTTTCTCTGTCCCGGATGCCACCTTCCGTCACAAATCGCATACCGTCCCGTCACCGCATCATCCATAGTGACCGAGTCTGAGAATGCCGTCCAGAGATACGTGTAGGCACCGTGTATAGGATAGCGGAGGATAGGTCTAAGAACATATGCAATCAGCGGAGTAACGTGACGCCATATTCCCGTGATATAGTTTCCCGGGTTGGCGGCCATATGGACAACTCCCGTGCCGAAAGCTCCAGCCTCGGACTGCCGACGTGCGAATTCTGAAGCTAGGAACCAATTTGCTGTTTTGGAAGACGCGTATAGCTCATTTTGATTCTTAATACTGAAGGGGTCCTGTAAATATTCTTTCCGGATCCCACCTCGAGGACTTATCATGTCGACAAGAACTGACGCGGCCCACACGACGCGCACCGTATCCTTAGGGGACTTCTTAGCTGTTCTAGACAGAATAGGGGCGAGTAATCGGGTGAGTAAGTGGTGCCCAATAGAATTAGTAGCAAAATGATATTCGTGTCCCTGGGGAGTTTGAGGAGCATTTTTCCGAGCGCCAATACCCGCATTATTGAATAAGACATCGAGTCTCCCATCTGGACCCTCGAGCGCCAGGAATTGTTGGGCAGCGTTTTTGACACTTTCAAAATCTGCCACGTCCATTTGTATGAAATGTAAGCTCCCTGTCTTCACATTCGCATCCCCATCTTGGGCATAGTGTGCCTTTATGCGGGTAATAGCCTCTTCAGCATTGTCTTTCGATCGCGTAAGCATGTATACTTTGCCACCCGCACCGTACAAGATCCGTGAGGTTTCATATCCTATCCCGGATGACCCGCCTGTTACGATGAATACCTTGCCAGCTTGGCTTGGTAAGTTGGTGTCTGTCAGCGGTGCGCCGTTGCGCGGTGGGAAGAATTGTGTCCAAATTGCTCCGAGAGACATATTCGAGTGTATCTCAGGTTGGTGAAGGAACAATAAGAAATAGAATTATTGTGCGGAAGATGAAAAGGTGAGACAGTCGCGAACCCCTAACAGGTATATATCATTCGTAGAGATCCAATTACAGTTAGACTCTAGAGCGGCGGACACCCCCTGGTTACGGAATACCGGGGCAGCGCGGCATCAAAGCGGCAGGGTAGTAATAATAATATTGTATTGTGACCCAGTAACATTGCTATGTACACGCAAGTTTATGTGCTGTTCTTAAGCTAACGAATCAGAACGCCTCAGCTTTGGTCTATTGGAATAAGGTAAGGAGGTGGGAAAAAGGGGGAGAGATCTGATAGACATGTATCGGTCACGTGATTGAAGCTATGAGTCTCTTCACCAACTCACAGCCATAGAACGGCGTTCTATGGTAGGCCGTTCTAAGAACGGCCTACCTAATTACTCTAAAGATTCACCTATACACCCAATTCCTCGTGATTATCTCTTCGAAAGCTCCTGATGCTGCCTACTTGAGAATTTTATTAAGAGCATAGAATTCACGCAGAGTCTAGACCCTATTGCTCCTCTATCATTAAAGGGAAAGATAATTGGAAAGGGTCATACAGATATTTAGCTACATCGGGTAAAGTCAACGTCCCTAAATTCTGGTCCAAGCTAGACAATAGGCCAAGGAACGTAGTCCTACATCGCGTATGTTAAGACCTTCCACAGTAATGAGACCGGTGCCAAACGATTTCATCCAAACGGCACAAGTAGAACATTCCCTCCAAATTACAAGAGACTTAAAGATATAGTGTTGTCAGGCTTGACTCATAGAATCATCCACTCATCCCGCCATCAACCGGAAGAATTGCCCGAGTGATGAATTTGCTCTCGTTGCCTAAGAGGTACCCAACCATCGCAGCCACCTCACCCACTGGTAGGTACTCTTTTAATAGCACTGGGTATTCGGCAACATTTAGCTCGGGTTTTTCCTTGCAAAGCACGTCTTTCATGCCCCCGTCTACAAAACCTCTGGAGCGAGCGGTAGTTAGTTACTAAGGAGTTATCTGACGTTCGTAGAGAGGGGGGGGGGGGGGGGGACCCAAAAGCAGTGAAATACAGGGTCTTCTGTATACTACCTCCAATTAATGAAGCCGGGCCGGTAAGAAAATAATGTATACTTACGGGCACACCGCATTAACCCGGACATTGCGGTGTGCGTGTTCGGCAGCGGCTATTCTACTCAAACCAATGACCCCGTGCTTAGAAGCTGCGTAGGCTGGCAAGATGGGAATCTTGCGTATGCCGGCAGCGCTAGACATGTTCACAATGCTACCGCCATCTGCGATTGCGCGTAGTTGGAACTTTAGGCAGTTGAAAACGCCAGTTAAGTTGACATCAATGACTCGAGACCAGTTCTCGTAGCTCATCTCCGTTATCTGGTTTCCGTCACCAAGGATTCCTATTTCGTTACATCTCGATAGTTAGTCAATGGGTTATAGTAAAGTTAGAGGAGGGAAGGGGGGGGGGTATGGATAAGCTTGAAAGAGGAAATCTATCTGAGTAGCTATATATCGTAGATTCAGATCAGCGTACCAGCATTATTAACACATCCGTCAATCCTCCCAAATTTCTCCTTTGACGCAATGACCCATTCCTCGACGGACTTCGGGTCCGTGACGTTCACGGTCCATGTCGACACTTGAATATCGGGGTAAGTCTCAGAAATACGTTGCGCCGAGGCGTTGAGTTTGTCTATCTGCAAATCTGCCAAAGACAACGTTGCACCACGCGCCGCGATGTAGTCGCTTATAGCTGCCCCGATTCCTTGGGCCGCCCCCGTGACGAGTACAACCTTTCCTTGAAGAGGCTTTGGGTCTGCCATTAGTCGTGAGAGCAGCTAAGAATAAGCTAGGAGTTCGTTTAGACCGTAGAAAGAATTCTACTCGGGTTGACTGACAGAGACTTAAATGTTGCGGGATGCTTATGCTTTTATAGACAAATATCTACTCCGACTTCAGAAAATTACCTAGAGGTGGGATAGCGGTGTGTTACACCCCCCCCCCCTCCCCCCCGTGTGGTACGGGCAATAACTGCTACCCACATAACCAAAGCCACTGAAACATATAACAGGCGAGTTCTTGATATCTCAGTCCAGAGGGTGTATTCATACCCGCGGTAACCCAATGCTTTTCGATCATTGACGTAGGCATCACGCTGCATGCATAGGTACATATGTAGCTGAGGTAGGACACCTCTGCCGGTGAAGACGTTCAGATGATCTCAGTAGGCTCGTATTATCGGCAGATTGTTGAATAGTGTTGCCTGCTTTCTCGGCTTAGTCCCCGAGAATAGGTACCTAGATTGTTGATAATCATGTCGTTCTAAGGTGAGGGGGTGTTATAAAAAAAGGGTTATTAAAGATATAGCTTACCGGGCATAATATAGCGAGAATAAATCATCTCCAACTATCTATACCACGAATTAGAAGTACACTCACTTCCCCACGTTATGGTTGCTATACCGAGGTTATATTAAAACAAAACATAAATATCTTCCAGTATAAAACAGATATATAGGTAGGTACATAGAGTCAATTACTAGTTCAACAGGTAGGCAATTATATCGGACGCATTAAAAGGGGAAAACGAAGATAGGCATATATCGTATTATATTAGAATACACATTTGATAATAGATTCGGCGAATAAGTACGATAGACCCCGATGAATACGATCTTCTACTTACTCCTCTATTCTACCTCGGCTTCGCTCTCAGCCAAGGGCCGTTGAATACCGAAGGTGGAACCAAACAGCATAGAAACAACTTCGTTGATCCAACGCGTGGATCCATGCGTATTTAATATAATCCCTTAACTGTAACGCAACAACCTCACCAATTATAATGTATATAGATACAGTGTATATTAGTCTTTAGATAGCTCTGCACGCCGCATACCCCTAGGGAGGTCTGCGAGGACTGGTCCTTCCCCCTCGCCCCGGCGTTAAATATACCAACCAACCAACCAACCAACCAACCAACCAAGTAACAACCTCACCATGATGTCTACAAGTTATCCAAATTCTACTTTAATAAGACCTAGTTATATTAAACTTACTCTGAATTGTGTGGGTGGAAAGGGAGATAGAAGAAAAGAGAGTAATATTTAACACGTCTTAAGAAACAGTTGCCTCCGAGTTGGGGCACAAGACAAGGGAAGTAAAGAAAAGATTCGCTAATTTCAACTATCTAAAGCATGTATGGTTAACATCTCATACTTGACTGAACTACTCAGCTCCTCAAGAACTTAGCTACTAACTTTTAACCCTGCCCAAATAAAAATATACCTCGCTGCTTTATTTTTTAATGCCCAGTCTGACTAGTTCGCGCTGTTCGACGTTCCAAATTGTTGACAGCAAATCCATATGTGCAGCAGCCTGTCTGGCCACATTTCCTTCCCTCATGACATCTAGCGGGCGTTCGCAGTCGATGAGGAAGATCATCGTATCCTCGATGCGCTTCTTCCAGAACTCCCAGCGATGCATCGTCAAGCCAGGGGTAGGGTGGTGACTACCATAAGTCTTATCAAGCTCGAGTTGGTATAGATTCCCGTGATGATACATTGCCTCGTAGGTTGGTTCGAATCCGCGCTTGATCAGCCGATATATCTTATTTCCGCATTGAACAATCCATTGATTGACCGAGTTGAAGAACTTGTCGTAGTGATCGGCACTGTCCCAGCTGCTTTCTAGTGCGTCGCGCATTGCGAATACGAAAAAGGAAGGATCGTTCATTACATCGAGGGCGTACATGGAGGAGGCAAAGCAGTGAAAGTGATAATTCAGGACAGCCACCTCGTTCTGCTGAGCTCCAACTCCTGGCAGACCTATATATCGGAGAAGATGTCAATCCAGTCCCCTTCATAGATCGTCGTATCGTAGGGGCCATCCATTAAGATACGGCACTACGACTTACAATAAGCAAACTTAAGCCCCTTTTCAATATCCTCTTCTGTTAACAGCGGTGATAGGCCTAATGGGTAATTCACGATTATCCTGAGTAGGTCGAAGAGAATGGCGATAGGGGACCATATGCCAGACGGTAACGGGACCCCGGTAATTTGTACTATAATGCCACGAAAGATAACATTTTCTATAACAAATTCTGCTCTCATCGCTGGCCTGATGTGCGATATGACGATACTAAAAGTGGCAACATCTTTTCGATCTACGCGTTGATAGCGGGATATAATATCCGTGGTAATACAGAATAATGATTTGCATGCGGCAAATTCCAGATCAAGCATATTACAATCTACCTTGTGTCTCAGGAAGATATGATCAGGTTTTGAGAACAAGGAGGCCATATTGATGAAGAGATGTTGTTAGGCGGTGAAGAGTAGGGTTACTATTGAATATTACGGGCTGCGTGGAATCTAAACAAAAGGTTGGCCATTATATATTAAAGAAACTTCTTGGGGTAGAACGGTTACTAACTTAGGTCGTCACTACTTAGCAGAATAACTACCTCTAGGTACCTAGGTAAGAGTAAGGAACTATAATCTTGTTTCTACTAAGGTCCTCATTGCCAATACTTAGAGTTACCTGCCTTGGCTAAAGACCCGGTGGGCATTTCCTAGAGTGAGGCAACGTAGAATCCCAAAGTCTTGGAATGTATTAACTCGAGTTTTAAGTTGGTATTGGATTGCTCATCATATCAATACATCAAGCAGAGGGGTTTCCTCAGATGTCTTTAAACGGTCTAATAAGACCGGCCGTATGCATTTCATACGTATCCCGTCTCCCAATCCACTGCCTAATTATGGTACACCCGTTCTGTTTGTCCCATATCGTACATGCTTTGCAATTCATGATTCCCTCTATCCCTTGGCCAATGCACATTTATACTCTGAATCGGGCGTTAGTGTTTTGCGTAGGTACTTGATTGAAGTTTTAATTATAGATATCTCACGGTGGAAGAAGGTACTCGCTCCAGGGACTCGCTAGGAAAGCCACCGCAGCCTAGAACATGTTAGTTGCTAATATATTTGGTGGTGAGGGGATATATCGCAAAGGGAACATACGCCGAAGATTGCTACGCTCCGTACGACGGAAGCATTTTCGGGAGATGTGAAAGCTTCGTAAGTGGAGCTAACAACGCCCTTATTGGAACGGCCACCGACTCTTTTTGGTGGCATTGTATATGTGTTGGAAATAGTAACGCTGGTGAATTCGATTGTGTGATGTGCGAGGATGATGATGATGATGTCGAATACAGAAAAAGATTTAAATAAATTCAAGGCTGAATAAAACCCGAGCTAAGTTACGCTATTCCGTTGGCGGGACTAGTGGGACAAGTGGGACCAATCTAAGCTTTGTGTGGGACCTTGCTTGTGATCTTTATGGGGCGATATATGGAGCACATTGTGGCTGATGCGCAGCTGACAGGCCAATGTTGTAATGCCGTCACAAGGCTGAAGTCAATCATTTAACTTTCCCATTTCCCACCCATCAAAATCCCAACTTAAACCTATTTATTTCAACTATACCTATCCGTAACAGGTATATATACGTCTCCATGCGCGCAATCCAGTACTCAAATATCATATATCCTTCTAAAGTCACACTTGAAAATGGTTGAAACACCCCGATCCGCTTACGGCAATGCCGGCGGTTTCTTACCGGCCGGCACCTCATTACCTTCTCCCGCCCCTAGTACAGCATCCAATAAGGTAGCTGCACGCCTCCCGCGTCCGCGATCAAAACCTCTAGCTCGGGGTTCGAGGAAAGAAGATTATGCAAGAAACTATGTCTCCGAGCGACTATTACACATATCGCGCCGATACGTTAAGAAGCATGGTATCCCCGACCCTGCTGATGAGGTAAACGGCTATACGGACATAGACGAGTTATGCAAAGACCTCGAAGATGTCGTTGATGTACTTTGGTTTTCGGGTACACGTATGTTTTATCCTATGCTTGCACCTCAAAGAAGGAAGGTCGAATAGCTTTTATTAACCGACATTTTAGCCAGTCTTCAAATCCCGTACCTCCTTAATGTCGCACTCGCATTTAACACGTATCTACCATCCTTCTCGCCATCACCGCCGCCCACATTTGCGCTGCTGAAGAAACTCGACCACTGTTTCGCTAGCCTCCTTGTAGGCCACGATATTAAATCAGGCGTCCCTTTACCAGGGCTCCAAGGCAATGGAAGAGGGCTTACGAAAACCGATATGGTGCGCTGTAAAAGTATTGCTGATGAGACCCGCATGCTGGTCGCAGTGATTATGAGCGACGAGCCCGATGTCGGGGCATATGCAGACGCAAGCGATGATGATAATGATATCGGGCAGCCACCTACGAGGAAAAACATCGGCGTTTCATTCTCTACGGGGTTAATACAGACACCTATTCCGTACAGCGGTAATAGTAATAGCAGGGTTAAGCCCAAAGATATTATAGACTTTGAAAATGACACAGACTTGGGTGACGTCGAAGAACCACGCCATGCTATACCTAAACGCAAAGCCAGCGCTACCGATTTAGGCGACGAGAGGCCAGAGGATAAGAAAAGGATACAAGTTGAGGAAGAGGAGCCAACGCCGAAGTTTAGTGATGCGGCGCCGGGGGCTCGGAGTCCGGTTCCGAGTCCGGTTCCGGCACTCGATGGACCCGGTCCACATCAACCCGACGGCAAGTTCCATTGGATGGTAGATGACGATGAAGATTCCGATGAGGAAACAGCCCGGAATACAAAAGCAAGCTTCAACACTTCTACTACTCCCCCATCAACGATACATATGGCTCCCGACACTGAACAGGATACGGGCGAGCTAAGTATAGAGTTAGATGAGGAAGAGGAGGAGCTGCAACTAAATGTAGGCCAGGTATATGAAAAGACGTTGGTACAGCTCGGCAAATCACTAGGCGAGCCTATAACGTACGATTAGCAAACTTCGCATATAGGTAACTATAGTTAAATATAAGACGGTATAGTTACTACAATATTAGGTAGTATACCTACATAATTAGCGTGGCTATAATATAATAAACAATAAGAAGTCAAGTATAAAGCATACCTAGGTAGTTATTCATTAGACTTTATTAATCTCTGGGTGTCCCAGCAAAAGCTGAACTTCATTTAACTTGAACAAATGTCATTCGTTCCCAATTATATAAATAAAAAGCACGTACAACTCCGACTGCGCGATAGCTTTTTTTTTCTGTATAAAAAAAAAAAGCTTCGCAGGTAAGCGAATGCCTCTAAGGAAAATGTCGATGGAAACAATACACCATGAACTTCAGCATTTCTGCTCTATTGAATACACTGAGACGAAACAACCACAATGGAATCGCACTACACCAAATCACACCAAACCCAGCTTTCATTTCCACTTCCACTTCCGCTTCTGCTCACGGCGCAAGAAGTTTGTGGATACCTATGCATAGCCAGATCCCATCTCCAGGAACAACTTTCGCCTCCCACGCCCACCATTTTTTAGTCCCAGAAAGTAATAATCAGCACCTGAGGTCGCGAAGCAAATATTTAGTGTTTTTTTCTTCGCAGTGAGAGAACGCCTTTCGGCACAAACACTTCTCCAACTTTGGTCAAGGGGCCTGCGAAAGACAACGGCCAAGGTACCCGGGGCATTCCTGTCATCGATGGAACGACTCGGAAGTACCTATTAATTAACAGCTGCTCCGCCTCACACCACAATTGCAAAATCAATAAAGCAGCAGGTCTGGGGTCTCCAATCATGAAATCGGATCAATTCGACTGAGGGTGCGCTTGAATGAATTTCATTGCCTGACTGATCCGCGGATGTCAAGGTAAAACCAACCCAATATGGAGACAAGAAAAACTAGCGAGCCGCACAGTAGCAGAGAAGTGCAATACGAATCCTCCAAAAATACAATAGAATCAATCCTGGATCCCAAGACTGTGGCGTCCCTCGCCAGAATCTCACCGGTCTCGAAGACGAAGCAGCGGACGAGACGAAATAAGGACATATGTGATACGAGCGGTATGACGAAACAACTAAAAACAATAAGTATGGTATGGTAGTCTAAAAGGAGAAAAATCAACAGGCTTTTCGGTAGTAGTCGTGTTTCGTCTCTGGTCCGCTGAGTTCGAATACCCGTCAGACCATAGCCATAGTCCAGATGCGAGTTTAAACAACCGATGAACGCCATGACATGCCCAAGTTAACCCGAACGTAGAGATGCTTAAAGGATATCACTTAAGACCGGCGAGCTTAAAGACGTGCTCCTACTCCGCCCCAATCTCCCCAGCCCCTTCCATCCCAAATGGCCCAGTACCAAAATCAAAGGTTCCAGGATCAGCATCGCCGTCGTGTAGGAATGAATCGAAATCAAAGTCTTGAAGTACATCGCCAGTCTGCATAGGGTCCGCAAAAGACGGCATGGCGCCAAAGTCCTACAAGAGAGTCAGCGCAAATAACGTAAACAAAGACTTGGGGGTAACTTACTATTGAGTTGTTGTCCATGCCAAAGGTGTTTATTTGCGAAGGGTCCGGATGCGCTTGCGGTGCAGCAACTGGCGCAGGAGCAGGTGGAGGAGCAGATACAGCTGCATTAGCTGCTGGCTGAGCGGCCACAACCTGACCGTTCTTGTTGAAGTTCGTCGTGTTGACGGGCGTGACGGGCGTGGGAGGCTCAGGCTCTTGGGCGGCCTCCGAAGCAGGCGCCGCACCTGGGGCCTGGTTTGCCTTCTTCTGAGCGGCAGTCTATGAATAAGCGGTCAGATAGTTGTTAATACACAATTCTCATAAATTATATGCGTACCTTGTTCTTCGCGTTCTTAGTATCCTTCTTCTTGGGTGCGGCCTTGTTGGATTGCTGGGGGGTAGGCGGAGCCGCATTCTGCTGCGGCGACGACGTTGAGCGGCCAGCAGCACCATTATTAACCGGGGGAGCTGACGGGGGCGGCATAGATCGTTGTTGCGGCGTGCCCTGAACCTGACCTTGAGGTCCTTGTGGCCCTTGGGGCGCCATCGCGTTTCCATTCGGTCCCTGCTGCCATTGCATTGGGGGACCACCCTGGGCACCCTGCTGCGGTCTCATCATTTGAGGGTTCATCTGGCCGTTAAATGGTTGATTGGGGTGAGAACTCGGGGGTCGCATGCCTCCTCCGTTCATCTGTGCTGCGGCTACCATGTTGGAATCCATCCCGTTCATATTCTTGAAGAAATGACCCTGCATATTAGGGTCCATTCCATTTTGCACAAAATTCATTTGGTTCGGCGACCCTCTCGATTGCGCGCCATCTGTCAATGGCGATGGAATAGTAGCGGGGTTCATCTGCGGAGTATTACGCTTCATTTGGTCTGCCGGGTTAGGTGAAGCCCCCGGGCGAGCCCCCTGACCAGACGGGTCTTGGAAAGCCTGTCCGTTTGGACCAGGGCCACCGGGTGCCCCAGGACCACCGGGGCCAGCTCCGTCCGGTCGGGGCATGCCGCCCATGCTATCTTGCTCTTGCCTCGCCATCATAAGACGTTTCTTATTTTGTTGCTCCAATAACATTAGTTGCATCTGGTAGTCCTGCAGAGCATGATTGCTACCACCTGCTCCTTGGGCACCACCTGGTGCACCAGGCCTCACCACTCCAGGACCGCCCATCCCGTCTGGGTTGTAGAGTGCACTAATCGCAACTTCATTAGGTCCGCCTTGCATCATGGGCGATTGGCCCTGCGGGCCACCAGGATTGGGCATCTGTTTGTTAGTTATTTGCTGGCCATGGTGTTGCTGTAGGTTCTGTGAATACGTCTGGATCGACTTGGCCTGAGTTTGCGGAGGTTGTGATTGGAAATTTTGAAACTGTTCAGGTGACAGATTAGCTGGGTTGATACCGTTTGTTGAAAGCATATGTCCAGCTATAGTAGTATTTCTGGGCCCGTTGCCTACTTGTTGTCCTGGCATGCCTTGCTGCGGTCGTTGTCCATTAGGCATCATGCCTCCCTGTTGAGGATTGAAGGGTCCAGATGAGTCCAGACGCGGTCTCTTGCTCGGCGATGGCGCGTTCTCGGCCTGGCCGGGAGAACCTGGGCGGTTTTGATTACCGTCCATATTCGAACCATCGCGCTGCATCTGGTTCTGCTTTACCTGCTGTAGCATGTGCATGGCTTGCGGGCTGTAACACAACGTTAGTACGTAATCAGCGATATATACGATAGACTCTCGACATACTTGTTTTGATTATTGGCCATAGCTGTCCTAGCTAAGTTTTGCTGCTGCTTCGGATTAACTTGCATCCCATTTGGCATTCCCATCATTCGGGTTTGGCCGTAGATGTCTTGTCGCATTCCTCGTAGTATTGCTTGCTGTTCTGTTTGTCTCTGGCGATTTTGTTGCTAGAGTAGTCAGCCTCACCGCTGTCTTAAAATGGCTTTACGGGACACTTACCTGAGTATGGTTGACATATTGGCTCACTTGGGGACTGATGCCAGGCTTGTTACGTTGAGCGTAAAGCATATCCCAGAATAAACAGAACCACTCGTATAGGAAGCTATTTTCGGCGGCAGCTGGAACGTTCGGCATGGGCAGATCCGAGGGTCGCTTCGAGTCTATGTCATCTTTACTATCGGTGTCCATGGGATCATCGCCCACCCCATTACCCAGAACATTGCCATTCTCGTCACGACGGCGGCCGGGGCTTTCCTTAATGACGTTGAGGGTCTGCTCACTCTTGAGCATTTGGCGCGCGCAGTCGTACATGCCCTCTCGAAGGAAGTAGTCGTAAATATATGTATTAAGTACTGTCCGATTATTCCCTTGGCTTTGGACTTGTTGCTGTTGCGCGGCTAACGTATTGGCCATCATTGGTGATGGACCACCGACAGGCCCGGCCAAGGGGATATTGGGCATATTCATGTTATTCATGAGTAAGAAATGATGGACAGACAAAAGTCTGTCGAAATCCGCGGTATCCAGTCACAGTGATAAGCTACCACAGGGCAAATGCGCGTGCGTGTCGCGGTGATGGGAGCCAAGCTTGGCGACCGTGAGGCTCAATTCTGGCTATTGGAAGTCGTGATATGATGCCGGGATGAATCGATCAAATATCTCGGGCGCTCGTTTCTTGGTCAGCGACGGAAGAAAAACTAGTCGGACAAGACAGAAACGAATGCGCGTAAGTGTAATAATCGACTGAGCAATTCGGAACTTGACGGTGCGTTTCGGGGAAGGAATCCTAGTTTTGGATTTCGCCTTTTTTGCTAGACAGGAAATATTGATTAGGCAAGAGTCTAAATCCTCTAGCTATGCAAAAGGAGCGAAAGAGGATGCGACCAGGTACGCGGGTACCAAAGGTCCCTTTGGTATACAGAGGCCAGGAATGAAATCCGCAAATGAGGTGGAAAGAAATGTTGGTATAAAGTATCGCGAGTGGCGGTAGATTTAATAAGTAGAAAATGGACGAGTGGATGAGAAAAAGTGAAGGTGGTGGATGTGTGTCGGATTTTTTGGTGCGACGGCGGTGATGGCGAAGATGGGTTTGTCAGTCGATTTTCGGTCGGGTGGTATGGGCGTGGTGGTCTGGTCGTGGCGGTGGTAGGTGCTGATACTAGCGGTCGTTATTGGGGGCTGGTGCTTTGTTATAGCGAATGAGAGAGGGCGCCGGCAGGATGACAGCTAATGGATTTTTCTTGTCTTTGGTCCCTTGGGGAAAAAAACCCCTCTCTTCCAATGAACTTTTACTATTTCTCCTCAAGCGGTAGTCCAAATAACCTTAGATCCCGTTTCGAACGCGACAGCTCAAAACGGTAATAGTAAGGAGAGGAGGTTAAGAGAGAGTAGTCGTCGGAGGGCTAGACGAGATTTTGCGAAGATCGCTCGGTCTTGATCGATAGCGAACAGCAGACGAACTTAGGTGGGTAAGATGCTTTTAGGTACAGCTTAGGTTAGGTACCTAAGATAGATACTGTATATGTAGAAATAGATTTAAAAGCTGCACTGTGTGTTCTGCTGTCCTGCTGTCCTGCTGTCCTGCTGTCCTTGGTGATGGGGGCAGAAAGATGCCTTGCTCGCCTGCGTCCAGCACTGTTGGCAGCACTGTTGCAGTGCAAATATT